ACAGGAGCTTGAATGTTAAGGCGGTAAGTGGATGAATAAGATGGTTGTGGGGCTAGCTGGTATGGGTAGGATGAGGCATTATTCACAGCAGGATAGTATAGAGAGTAACCTTGGGATGGATAGGGTTGATAACCCACGAATTGTTGTCTATCAAAGCTCACAGCTTAAGCTTGAGCTTCTTTCTTTTCTGATGTCTTCTTGGTTTCTCCTCCTCTCAACTTGCCATTTTTTATGGCACTTTCAATAATTTCTCCAGAGATTACCATGTCAGCAAAATTTTTTGTTGCATTCCCTATCATCTTTTCATAATAGGGAGGTTTCAAAGTGCTAACAAACAGCACTGTGATCTCTTTTTCTGTCAGAGGAGGTTGTACCTGTGAAGCTATATCTCTCCATCTCTGGGCGTACTCTTTAAAAGACTCGTTTGACTTTTTCTCCAGATTCTGCAAAGACAAACGATCAGGAGCCAAATCGATAATGTGTCGATATTGACTGATGAAGTCATGAGCCATATCACTCCAAGAGTGAATGTGGGTCCTATCCAACTGAACATACCACCTGGCAGCAGAACCAGTAAGACTATCCTGGAAGACATGCATCAAGAGTTTTTCATCATGTGCATGAGCTGCCATCTTCTTGCAATACATGGTGATGTGGGTTTTGGGGCATTTTGTACCATCATATTTTTCAAATTTTGGTACTTTGAACTTATAGGGAATAACCACATCAGGGACTAGGCAGAGTCCAGCAGCATCAACTGACCCATAACAGCTAAATCCTTCCACAGCCCGTAGCCTCTGCTCTAGCATGCTAATTTTGAAGCTTTCCTCAGCTTCCACCCTTACATTTTCCTTGTCCTTCTCTTTTACATCATCTAGATCAGGAATTGGTTCTGCTGCTTTTTCAGTGAAGACAGGATTTATATAGCTATTATACTGCCCTGGGTTGAAAGCTGATGGCATTCCAGGACATGTTGGATATGCAAAATGTTGTGGTGGGACCTCTTGGGCAGACTGGGCTTGAGGTGGGCCAAAACCTGGAGGGTACAATGGGTCAGCCACTTCTTGCTGGCTTGTACTTCCTTTAACTTCTTTTCCTTTATTCATATTATTGAGAGCCTCCAGAATTTTGCTAAGTTCATTTTCAATCTTCTCCTGAGCTTTTTCTAGCTTTTCAAATCTATGAGAACTTTCCTCTTCCATTTGCCTTGCTCTGGATCTTGTGTTGTATGGATGAGCAAGGTTTTCGCTAGATGGAGCTATCCTCAGACCTTGAGTACCATACTTATGATTAGAAATGTTATGCTGTACCTTATGTATGATGCTTTGATACACAAATGAAATGTACATTTTTTGAATGAAATCTAGTATGAAATGAATGCAAATGATTGTGTTGAAACATGATCATGAAAAGAATACAGATGCATACAATCAGACAAACAACATAGTTAGTTCCGTGGATGAAACGTAAGTGATGTTGATGCATAATGTTACATATGATAAAAATAATACACAAAGTTAAGCAATCAAAATGATTAGATAAACACCCTTTTTTGTGTCCTAATTTTAGGGTATATCTATCATTGGGTAGAAAGAGCTCTATCTTAGGTGTAGGCACTCTTAAAGTTCACTACATGCGGTTTTAAGGTCAGAGTCTAAAGGTCCTCAAATTGTTCCTTACATCCCTGTCCATCACAGACTAGTAAGGCACCCTAATCCTCACCCATTACAGGCTACAAACGGAAAATGTTCAATTTGAGTGGGAGTATTTCGCTAGCCATTGCGGAGGCATTAGACCTCATGAAAGCAATAGGTACTTTACTCCCTCCTAGAGGGACAGAGCTCGGGTGTAGAGCTCATGTTATGCACATGCACATGAATGACATAATTAATAAAGTAAATAAACATGAATGAGTAATAATACATATATACAAAAGGGTTCAATTTTATTAGGCTTTTGGATAACACAAATTATTTGCTGGCCTGACTCTCAAAATCCCCAGCGGAGTCGCCAAGCTGTCATAACGTCTAGATCCGGGGATCTATCGCTAGACATTGACTTATAAGGGAGTCGCCACCAATCTTTTTTATCTAGGTGCGATTGGCCACCTAAGGAATCTATCCTTTCAGGGAACACCTAAGCTTAAGGGTCCCTAAAAGAATAGGTTCAGGTCTACAAACCAGAACAGGGTTCGAGAGTTCGGTTACGTGTGAGGAAGGTTATAGCACCCTCACAACGCCCATCAAAAGATGGTACCAGCTTAAATTTGTGTTATCCAAAAAGCCTTAAAATTTTACCAAGTAATTAGTTGTTGGAAATTATTCTCAATTGACTCTAATACTTTTAGCAGAAAATTGAGAAAATTTCCTCACCTCAAGAGTATGCAAGAAAAACTACTGTTTCACTTGCAGAGGCTCCGTCGTCGGATTATTTAAAGAAAAAAAAATAAAATCAAAATTAAGATAGAAAGGAAGGAAAGAATGATTTTTTTTTGTAGGAAAAATTGATACTTTCAACTTTTCCCCAAAAATATTTTTTTGAAAATTTCGATTTTCAAGGAAAATTGATACTTTCAACTTTTCCTCAAAAACCCATTTTTTGAAAATTTATTTCTAAGAAAAATTGATACTTTCAACTTTTCCCTAAAAATATTCAATTTTCAACTTTTCCCTAAAAATATTTTTTTTTTGAAATTTATTTCTGAGGAAAATTGATACTTTCAACTCTTCCCCAAAAATATTTTTTGGAAATTTATTTCTAAGGAAAATTGATACTTTCAACTTTTCCCTAAAAATATTTTTTGAAAATTTATTTCTAAGGAAAATTGATACTTTCAACTTTTCCCTAAAAATATATTTTTCTTTTGGAATTTTTTATTTTTATTTAAAGAAAATAAAATAATAAAAAATAAATAAAAAGAATATTACATAAACCTAATCTAATAAATAAAAAATAAAATAAACAAATAAACAAAGAAAGAAAAAAAATTCAAAGAAAGAAAAAAAAAAAAAACCTAGAGCGGCTCGGATCGCGGCTTGGCTCGGCTCGGCTCAAGGAAGAGAAAACGGCTCGGGGGGAGCGGCTTGGCGGCTTGGCTCGGCTCGGAGGGGGCTGGCACGCGCGGGTCAGAAAGCGGGTCGACGCCCGGGTCGGGTCGGGTTAGCAAAACGTGCGGATCCTCTGGGTTACTTAAGGCCAAAACGACGTCGTTTTGGGAGGGTATAAAAGGCAATCCCCTTCGTTTTTTTGGCAGAACGCTCCTTCCTCTCTCTCTCTTTTTCCCTTTTCCTCTCCCTTCTCTCTAAAAACTGAAGAACACCGGTGCCGGATTCTGGAAAATTTCACCGGAATCTGGAAATTTCACCGGAATTTGGCCGAAAGATCGTCGGTTTCTGGGATTTTTCGCCGGAAACTGGGCTGGTCGCCGAAAACTTCAATGTTCGCTGGAATTGTTGCCAGAAAATTCAAATTTCGCCAGAATTTTCGTCGGATTCTGGAAATTTCTGGGAAATTTCCAGAAAAATTTTTTCGCCAAAAATTTCTAAAAATTTTTTCTCACTCCCAGAACACTCCTAAACTTTTCCTAGCTTCCTATACGCCTCCTTTTCTCTCAAATCAGTAGCTTTGCTTACTGTTTTCTGTGTCCTTCAGTCTACCACAGGGGTCCTTTATATAGGGATTGATCAGGAGTTTCTGATCAATCCCAATTCCCCTTTGGACGGGAATTCAATCTTTGAATCCAGTCTGGACTCTTCTGATTGAATTCCCACTCCCAGTGGGATTCTTCAACTTTCAATCCTAGCCCTCCAAAATAAAAATCAAAATAAAAAAAAAAACTAGATAATTAGAAAAGATAAATCAAAAGATATTATAGGATAAAAATAATAATAAAAAAATCAGATATATAATTAGATAAGTAAAAATAAAAAAATAAATAAAATAAAAAAGATAAAAAATATATATATACATATTAGTATTAATACATAAATAATAAAATACACATAAATATTAACAAAAAATAAATAAATAAATATATACATATATTAATACATAATAATAATAATAAATAATATAATACATAAAATACAAAAGAAGAAGAAAAGAAAAAAAAATACAAGATAAAATTGAATTGGGCTTACCCATTTGGGCCAGGCCCAATTGATCTGAGCCTGGACCCAATTGGGTGTCTACAACAATCAATAACGCTAAAAAAATAAACACATCAAGATTTACGTAAAAACACTCTAGTGTAAAGGAAAAAAATCACGAATCACCAAAAAAAAACTTCACTATTAAATAATGGATATACAAAATTTCACTTTAATTAAAACTAGAGCTAATCAACAATTAGAAAGACAATTAAAATAATCTCATTAAATAGGTGACTCAACAAATACAGTATGTATTTATTCTTAGAGAGCTTCAAACTCGATTTTCACCGTTCAAAATATAAAACTTTAAATCATAAACTTGTTGATAAAATTTTAACTTAATCAGACTACATATCGACTTCTGTTTAACTAACTCTCATTTCTCCATTTTCTCTCTATTTTCCTGACTTCTTTTTTCCTTTTTTTTTCTTGATTTGTGGTACCACTTTCTTTTTCACCTTAAAACAGCCTTCATCTTTTTTTATTAAATAGTTAAGGCTTTATGAAAAAAAAAAAAAAAAAAAAGACTAAGGTCTATAACCTTTGATTGGTCCAAAACGGCTGAACCCACTTTCCTAACACATTTTTTATCAGCGTGCATTCTATCCCAATAAATTAACAATAAAATAGTAGTATTCGGACAGGAATTTAATCAAATTGATTGTTCTTTGATCTGTTGGCATGACTACTTTTTTAATGCAATAAATTTAATTTCTTGGCCAGTGAGTAATTTTATAATGATAATTATACTTTCAATAATTTTCATAGCTATTTGGTTCTTTCATATGGGAAAGCATTTGCTGTGAGAGAAGTGATAATAGTAAGACGATTATGGCTTTGACCCTGATCTAGTTCATTCATATTCCTCTCATCTTAACTTCCGTCTTTCTAATCTTCAAGATTTTGACTCTCAAAAAACTTTGTCAAACATATAATACTATACGTACTGGAAATGGCCGAGGCAGCTGTGAACTTAGTTCTTAACAGGTTGATTGCTTTGCTCAAGGAAGAGGCGAAAGTACTAAGAGGTGTTAATAGAGAAGTTGAAGACATAAAGATTGAACTAGAGTTCATTTCCTCTTTCCTAAGAGATGCAGATGCAAGGGCAGAAGAAAGCAATAACGGTGTTAAGACATGGGTGAGACATATAAGGGAAGCAGCTTACAGCATAGAGGACGCCATCGATGAATACATGCTTTATGTGGGTAAACACGGTGATCAACATGGTTTCAAGGATTTTCTGACAAAAATAGCTTGTATGATTAAGAGTGTGAAAAGACAGCGTGAGATGGTATCAAAGATACAAGAACTCAAACGATCAGTTCACGAAATCGGAGAAAAAAGTAGAAGATATGGCTTCAATATCTCAGAGCAAGGGGGATCAAGCCGCGGAGCGAATGATAAAAAATGGCACGACCCTCGCGCTGGCCTCCATTTTGTTGAGAATGATGCACTTGTGGGCATTGAACCTCTTAAAAACGAGCTGATAGGACGATTGATTCATGGGGCGGCGATACGCACAGTGATTTCACTTGTGGGTATGGGAGGGATTGGCAAGACCACTCTTGCTAAGAAAGTTTATGATCACCAAACTGTTAAAGGGCATTTTGATTACCGGGCTTGGATCACCGTGTCACAATCACACAACACGGTGGAGCGGCTAAGGACCATGATCAGACGTTTTTATGAGACAAAGAAAGAGCTCCCTCCCAATGGAATTGATGCAATGGACAAGGAGGAACTGATCAGCAAATCCAGAGAATATTTGCATGACAAGAGGTATGTTGTGGTATTCGATGATGTCTGGAATGAAGACTTTTGGCAAGATATAGAATATGCTTTGCCAGAAACTAACAGTGGCATTAGAATTATAATAACAACCAGAAGTCTGAGTGTTGCTGAATTTTGCAAGAAATCTTCCCTTCTTCATGTTCACAATTTGGCACCTCTGTCTCTAGAAATGGCCCAAGAGCTTTTATGCACAAGAGCCTTCCAATTTGATCAACAGAAGCAATGTCCCCCTGAGCTGAAGGATTTATCTTTTGACATTGTCAAGAAATGTGAAGGATTACCACTTGCAATTGTGGCCATAGGTGGGCTTCTTTCAACCAAAGGCAAGGATGTCTTACAATGGGAAAGGTTTCACAATAACCTTAGTGCACAATTGGAGAGCAATCCCCATCTTACATATGTCAAAAAAATTCTTGCCTTTAGTTATCTTGATTTGCCTCATTACCTCAAATCTTGTTTCCTGTATCTGGGTTTATTTCCACATAATTATTCCATTAGGAGCAAGAGACTGATTCGATTGTGGATTGCAGAGGGTCTTATAAAAGAAAAGCAAGAAATGACATTGGAAGAAATTGCACAAGAATACTTAACTATGCTCATTCATAGAAGCTTAGTTCAAGTTCAATGGAGGGACTCCACTGGAAGAGTTAGAAAACTTCGAGTTCATGATTTGATGCATGAAGTTGTTCTTTCCAAATTAGAAGAACTAAATTTGATACATCAATCCTCACAAGTACATATGACAAGTACCAATGGTACAGCTCGACATCTCTCTATCTATAATGGAGAATGTGATTTGTCAAGCAGAAATGGTAACTTTCAAACTCATTCCGTTATCTTTTTCAGTGTAAGAGAGTTACCTAAATCTCTATTTACAATGTTGTCCCGAAGTTTTAAACTTCTGAGGGAAATAGATTTTGAAAGAGCTTCGTTGGAGTACGTCCCGGAGGAGTTGGGGACTTTGTTGCATTTGAGATATCTAAGCTTAAGAGAAACAAAAGTAAAGATGCTTCCAAGGTCCATTGGCAAATTGCATAACCTCCAAACTTTGGATTTAAAACGCAGTCTCGTGCAAGAGTTGCCAATTGAGATAAGTGGTCTTCGTAATTTGCAATATCTTGTAGCTTACTCTGTGGATTTTGATAATCATTACAGTATCCACTCTGTCCAAGGGGCGAGGATCAATGGCAGTACTATTAGGAGTTTAGAATCATTAGAAACGCTTCTTCACGTGGAGTTCCAACCACAAAATGGTGGGGATTTTTTTAATGAATTTGGAAGGTTAACGCGATTGAGAAAACTGGGGATCACTAAACTAAAATCAGAAGGTGGGATGGCTTTGTGTGATGCTATACAGCAGATGCACCACCTTGAATCGCTACACATTTCGTCAGTGAAAGAGGATGAATTTCTTCAACTACAATCAATGTCTTCTCCCCCACTTTTCCTTCAACGCGTTCGCCTGGAAGGACAATTGGTCAAGCTGCCTGATTGGATTTCTACGTTGAAGAACCTTGTCAAAATTAGTTTACACTGGTCTAGAATATCTGATGATTCACTAAAAATCCTCGGAGGTTTGCCAAATCTATTGGAGTTTTGGCTTTATGATGGCTATGATGGAGCTGAAATGCACTTTGGAGAAGGACAGTTCAGAAAACTGAAACACCTCGGACTTCGTACTTTGGAGGGACTAAAAAAATTGACAACAGATAAAGGATCTTTGGCTTGTTTGGAGATTCTTATAATAGGGGCTAGTCCACAATTGCAGGAGGTTCCCACCAACATTTGTAATTTGAAATGCCTTCAAACCTTAGAATTTGATGAAATGCCAAAGGAATTTGCCCGAAAGATACTGCCAAATGAAGGCCCAGATTATTGGAAAGTTCAGCATATTCCTAATGTTCATTTTCGTTACAGAGCTGAAGGAGGACAGCGTGGCACCTACAAGCTCGGTGATTTTCGCTTGTATCAATATTTGTGTTAGAGCAGAGCTTCACCTCAACATTAGAGGTATACTCTTCTAACTCTTTTAATATGATCATTGCTTTATTTCCCTGTACTTTGTACTTCTTTCTAACGACAAGTTCATAGCAAGACCAAGGCCACAATGACTTCCAATTAAGGAAAGATTGAATTGTTTTCTTTTATTAAAGAGATCATTGTTTAAAAAAGAATTGCAGATATTGAGATTTAAATTTTAGATTTGCTAATTATCACCTTCTAAGGATAGTTACTGTAATACCCCAGCCCAAATAATAATTGGGCTAGACTAATACTAAAGCCCATCAGTTTATTAAGACATTATTTAGTAAAAGAAAAAGGGCTGAAGTATTAGATGCAAAGAAACATAACTATCGTGAAACAGAAAAATAAAGTTCTTCTTCCTCATCTTCCTTAGGGTTAGAGAATATGAAAAATCAAGTTGGAGATTCACAATCAGAGACTACTATCAAGTTAATCCCTTAAAGGTGAGTACATGCCCTCTTTTTATTTAAAAAGAAATATCAAGTTGATTGCTATTATTTGGAGTTGAAGTTTTGAGAGCAAAACTAAGAAAAATCATGAAATCCTTCATTAATCTTGATGATCTATTTGGGTAAATTACTGGGCTTTGTTTATTTCATATTCTTAAGATTTATTAATGATTATTGAATGGAGTTTGAAGGCTGAAAGTAAGAATTTGAGTTTTTAAAGATTGAAGGAGAAATTCTATTTTTGGATGAGATGTTATGATTTGTAATAATGAATTAAAATAGAATTTTGCATTAATGGATAGATTATTGCTGTGATTATTATATATCATTGGAAAGCATGTTGAATCTAGTTTCTAATGAAACAAACGAAAGTCAAATCCGAGTTTTCTATGAAGAGTTGTCTAATTTTAACTTAAGGATATGCAGGCTGTAAGACAACAGCATCAGGGTTGAATTACGAAATTCTTCTTAATTTGTATACAAGGATTTATAGATTAAGCCATATATTTTTGGAAAGCTTATTGAGTCAACTTTCCAATGAAACAAGCGGAATTGAATTTAGAGTTACCTATGAATAAATACGTAATTTTTATGAAAAGGTATACAGGTTGTCTGGCAGCAGCATATGACGTGGATTACAAAAATTGTTATAATTAATCCACAAAGAAATTCACTAGATGGACCATATATGGTTAGAAAGCTTGTCAAGTCTAGTTTCTAACGCATTAAAGAGATCATAATTTCGATCTGGATATATTGAGATATGACTGTTTTAATGAAAAGAGGCCAGGCTGCCAGTATTAATTAGTTAAGTTAACCCTTTGTGTAACTTAGTTGATTTTTGTATAAATGGTCTCAAAAAGGGTTGATTAAATTCTGATCTATTGAAATGATCTTGGATAGGCCATTAATTATTTTGGGGGGAAAACTAAGTGGTGAAATCGAATGGAGGTAAGTAGAATCTCACATACTTTGCTTATTTTTGAATCTATGTAAATATGTATGTTTCTAAATGAAAGAATGTTTTATTTCTTTATTTTCGATATATAAAAATAGGATCAATCATATGATTATTTTGTGTTTCTCTATATAAATGATGGATCATGCTTATGAATGAAATGAGAAAATGATTTATGTTTAAAGAATGATTTTATGACGGCTACGTTTTTGCATCCCTGGGAAGTGGGATCATCGACACCAGAACTTAGTTCTACGACCCTGGCTAACGGGTAATAGTAGTTAGCAAAGACATGAACATACGACCCTGGCTAACGGGTAATAGTAGTTAGCGTAAGCCCTGGCTAACGGGTTATAATAGTTAGCAATGATCATGAGAATGAAATTGTCGATACGACCAATGTCACGGATTATAAAGTGACCGTAGCTAACGATTTGAATGATAATGATAATTTATGATAATGATGATTTACGATGATTTTTAATGATTGATCCATGATTTGGTTTGATTATGATGTTTGAATGATAGCATATTTTACAATGATTTATAAAGTGACATATTTTGACATTGATTTATGAATTTATGAAATATTTGACAAAACGATGATCTTGAAATGTTTTGATATTATGATTTGATGAATGTTTTGAATGATCTATATGATGTGTAAGAAAACGATGCTTGATCTAATAAGGTGTGTGAGCCTATACTTACTGAGCTGTGGTTTGCTCATTCCCCTTTTACTTTTTCTTTACAGATGACTAAGTGATAAGTTTGGTTAGTCTTATGTGAAGCTAGAAGATGAAATGGGTATGATTACTTAATCGTCAGAGAATATGTTGGCCAATGAGATTTTAAGAGGCAATTTTGTATTTTATATGGTTTGTATTTGGATATATAAAGATGTATCATCAGTTGGATTAAAGATATGAATTTTACTTGGTAGATTTATTTTATTGAAGGATTTTAGAATGTTTAAGAAAGAAGGCTTCGTATTACTTTAGGATTTTCTTTAAGGTAATACGGCCGTGTTATGCTCGATTCGGGGCGTGACAGTTACATAAACCAATTGAGTTAAACTCAAAATTCTTGAAAGATTCAATTATTATAGTATTCATTGGCTTCCTTTCTAACCTTACTTTTACCCTCGTTTACTTGATTATCAGCATTCACATCCACTCATAAATTACCGGATGGCTTAATCTGTCAATCACCTCAAAGTATTTAGGGGCGAGGCAACGGTCGGAGTGTATCAGATCAGTGGAAATTTGTTTCCCCATTATGAAGGAATCAGAGCTCCAATCAATAGTCGTATGTCTTCTACATTATCCGTCGCCTTGCACCTAAAACTCCTCTGCTTTGCACGAACTTATGTTTTTTTTCAACTTTGACCAATGCTTCTCAGGCCATATAGACTGAATTAACAACTTCTTTTACGGGAACATTTGAGTAATCGATCATTGTGCAATGACAAATGGAAAACATATATTTCTAAGGTGATCTCCGGCCGAATAAGATGCAAGAAATGTCCAACCAAAAAAAAAAAGAAAAAAGGTAATCACTGTATTGTCAAATGGAACAGATTACTAATAGCTTGCTTTGATGGTAAGTAGTGCAGGTGGCTCAGCTTCACTTGGTTTGTTAGAGTAATTGAGTTTTAATTTAAAGTGATATATGGGGTTAATATAAATTAATTATTTATCAGTAATTTAATAAAATAAATTGTCCAATTAAAGCTATGAATTGTCTAATTTTGGTTCAAAGCTTCACTTCACATTTTTAATGTATTTATAGTCATTATATCTACATGTTTCATAAGTAGTCTTCCTGTACATTTGGATATGTAAAAAGAAGCCCAAAATTATGTGAAAAATCATGTACAAACGAAATAATTTTCTATAAATCTAATCCACATTCCTATCCAATCCACATAGATAAGGAAAAAATTAACTATTTGTCGAATAAGCAATGAGACATATCTTCTTCAAACTATTGAAGTCATTAGGAGTTGACTTATCTGTCTTGATCTGCATATAGACCCATACCTATTGATAAGGATCCCAAGAACATTAGATAATCTTCCTAGAAAATGAAAAAGGAAGATTTGAAACATCTGCAAGTAATTTAGGATATTAAAAAATCAGAATCAAATGAAGCAGAAAAATGGAATAATCACGATTCACAACACCTCTGAATTCAACTGTATTCCCTTCTAACAACTTCTTTCTCCTGCATTCATAGAGAAAAAGCTATTGACAATTGTTAGTGCCAATCAGTTAATACCAAAAGCTTTCAGTTTAGGAATAAATGTCTACAAAATTTTGAAGCCAAAAGAGCCAAAATTGAAAATAAAAAAAAACAATTAAAAGAAAATTGAGAAAAACAACCTCAAATAGAAAGTCAACAGAGTTCATCTGAGCATATTTTCACTTTAAAAGACTTTTATGAGTGCAAGGTACATAAAGGTCATCCCAGCCCTAGCCAAAATAATAATAATAATAATAATAATAATAATAAAACCCATCAGTAACCAGTTGCACCTAAAAACATAACAGTCTTTCTTAACAACTATGCATATGAAGCAACATAAACTTAACAATAAAATTGCATAAAATCCAATAATCCTCTTCAATCACCTAAAAAATAAGACCATCTACCTCATAAGAAAGCTTGGGGATAAATTCCTTCAAAATTGGAGCCTTTTAGTGACAAAATATAACATTCCATCAAAATTGGATCATAGTTTCTAAATCAGATTATAGTTGTTTAAAAAATAAATCTAAATAAAGCATCATGTAAAAGCTATTAAAAAGTAAAAGGGCTTTGGATTTACCTTTTCTTGCTATCTTGCAGGACAGGGGAGTGGACGAAATGAATGGTAATATATAATACTATCTCAAAAAACCATCCCAAAGTTCCCATAGTAAACTTCAAAGAGAAGAAACTAACTAAATAAAGCAAACATTTAACTTAAAAGTTATTTTTAGATTCAATAATCAAGTAAAGTGATATGCTAGTTAGAATAGGGAAAATAATTTTAAAGAGTTGTCTCCCATTGAACCTAAGAAAAAGAAAAGTTAGTTCAATTTAAATTCTAATTATTACAATATTAATTCCATAGTCAACAATTCAATAGTTGATGCTATTTCTGACTTTATTTTTCCTTTTTACTGTTAAATCTAATTACAATTACAGATTGTAAGCTAACTTTTAAACTGTAAAATAACCATTAGAATTAAATGATTGGGTATATCTTGAATAGTTGTACTTGTTAAAGTTTGTGCTGCACACTTTTTGCTGTTTCCATACTATTCATATTGGGTCGTTGCCTTTTAGCACCAGAAGCATGCAAGAGCTAAGCTTTTCTTCACACGCATTTCCCAACAACCTTTTGCCTTTTATAAGTGTAGAGATGTATGCTTTTCACTTGCTAAGCCTCCTAACTGTTGAAGATCCCGAAAGGCTAAAATATTAGCTACTACATCCTTATCTCTATCTACTTTTATGCCTTCTTTA